CTTTTCTAACTCCAGGTCTTTGCACATTTCATTATAATACTTTGTCTTCTCAAGCTGCCCCTTGAAATTCTCGTTGGCTCTCTTACTTCAGCATTCCTTCCCCTTATTTTCACTTCTTTTCATTCCAAGGCAGGTATCAGAGTCTGTTCTGACATCCATTTTGGTCTTGTCTTTCTTCCTTGTGTTTGTAATGTAAAGACTAAGACTGGCTTAGACCAGGACTAACCAACCATCCACTTCTGATATGGCAGACCTTCAAGAACCCTCAGGAATTGCTGGCCTAGCCCCTTCCTGAGATCTCTTATCTCAAGGCCCTGTAGATGCAGTTCCAGTTTTTTAAATCATGCATCATTTTATTGGTTATAGTTTCCTCTCTGTGAAGATAACCATTACGGGCTGGTTCTGAGCTCAGTGCAGGGGCCAGAAGAAACCAGACATCCATTAGGTGTGACCTTCATTACTTCCACCTTTGTGCTAGCCAGAAGACAGTGATGGTGAGGCCCTCTCAGAGGGTGATTTTTCATGAGATGGTCTGTATAGAGTGTCCTGTGTGTGCTTGGCACATAGGTCATCAAATGTCCTGGTCATTTAATGAGGAAGGCAATGTTGAAAGCCTGAGTTAACACATTTAACCTTCATCACATCGTGTGACCTTCATCACATCGTGTGTGGAGTTGTGGTGGCCTAGTGCTAAGAACCTGTGCTGCAATCCTAAAGATGTGGTTTGAATCCACCAGCTGTTCCCAGTGGTAGGAGGATGGACGTCACATCATATTTAGTGTTGTTATGTACCATTGAGTCGGCTACAGTTCTGCCACAACTGTGTCATTCTCACCATCTCCAACACACTTGAGCCCATTGTTAGAGTCACCAGGGAAAAAGATTGACCTTGTTGAGGAGTTCTTTTACTTTGATCCACAGTCAATACTGTTAGCCGCAATTGTCAAGACATGTTGTGTTGTGCACATCTACAAAGGACTATTCTAAAGTGCTAAAGAGTAAAGATGTCAGTTTAAAGACCCAGGAGTCTCTGAGCCAAGTGATGGTATTTTCAGTTGCTTCATGGAGAAAGGATTGACATTGTCAGTGGTTTGTCTTCCTTGCATCCACAATCAACCCCCTTGGTACCAGCACTCAGGAAATCGAGAGACCTATTGTACTGGGCAAGTCTCCTGCCAAGGACCTCTGAAAAATGCTGAAAAGCAGTGATGTCTGTTTGAGGACTAAAGTGCGCCTGAACTAGGCCATAGTCTTCCCATTTACCTGCTGCACAGTGAGTAAGGGTGACAGAAGAAGAATTGATGCCTTTGAGTTGTGGTGCTGGAGAAGAGCACTGAACATCCCACGGGCTGCCAAAAGAACAAACTGAAATTGTGTAGAGAAGGTGCATGCTGAGAGCTCCTTGGGGCAAGGACGGCGAAGCTTCATCTCTCGTACTTTGGACATGTAGCTAGGCAGCTCTGTTCCTTGGAAAGGGACATCATGCTTGGAAAAATGGAGGGACAGTGAAGGAGAGGAAAGTCCCCAATGAGACAGATTGACATGATGACTTCAGCAATGGGCTCAAGTGTGTCAGAGATAATGAGGTTGGCACAGGATAAGACAAGCTTCAGGTAGGCTATTCATGAGTTATACTCTACTTGACTGCATCCAAAAACAATATATACATTTGAAAGTTGGACAGTGTTTAAGAAAACCAAAGAATAATTGATGCCTTTGATTTGTATTGGCAAAGAATACTGAATATCCCATACACTGCTGTAAGAACAAACGTTTTAGAGGTGCAAGCAGACTGTTCCTTAGAGACATGGATGGTTAAACTTCATTTCACATACTTTGGGCACATTGTCAGAGCAGTGCTTGGGGACAGTGGAGGGCCGGAGAAAGAGCAGGATCCTCAATGAGATAGATTAAGCAGAGTGACTATAAACTTGGGGCTCCAGCATAGTCTCCATAATGGTGAGAATAGTGCAGATTAGGGCACCTATGCTTAGGAACCTATGCTGTCCTTAAGATCACTATGAGCTGTCTTCACAACACCAACATGTCCCGAGGAGATGGGGCCTTTCATCAGTCCATATTTACAGACTGAGGAAACAGGTACAAATTTTACCAAGAACAGACAGCTAGGAAGTGGAACAATCACTTGCCAGCCAGTTATTTCACTCCCAGAGCCCAGATTCTTAACTATAATACAGCAGTCTTTCAAATAGGAGGCCTCCAGTGAATGAATGGAAATCCAAAACCTCTGTAAATGTTTATTAAAATTAATAATAAAAAAGTAAAAAAATAAAAACTAAAAAATGTGTTAAACAGATAAAAAAAGAACAACAAATAGGAGGCCTCTTCTTGTGTCAACAAGAAAAATGTCTCCCGTCATGTGACAGAACGCTCTGGAGGGGGTGGTCTTGAGATGATTATACCCAGGAGCCAAAGGTGAGGCTTTGTCCATAGCTGCCACTTGTGGGATGCACCCCCCAAAAAAAAAGGAGGATAGATGCCACAAAATAGATTGACCTGTTGCTCCCTCTGGCATTTTTTCACAGAGGCAAAATTGTCTCAGAAGCTCCTTCTGCAGACTTCTCTTCCAGAAATGTTCCTCAGATCCACTCCTGAAAGCCCACCAATGGCACAGAGTAATTAAGACCCAGGTGGGCTTTTATGACTTGGCAAGGATGTGCCAACAGATGGCAAGTGGCTACTGGTTTTCAGTACTCAAAGGGCTTGGTGTTGAGGAAAAATTCTCTTTACCTCTTCCACTTTTAAAAAATGTTCCTGTTCCCATCTAACACTTTCCACATAAATTGTACTGTGCCATTAGTTATATTTTGTAAGAAAAGCCTCTTAAAGGAATTACCTTCCGGGGTGTCTGAAAGCTGTCAGCCAGACCTAAGGAAGGGAGGGTACTGTCCCTTGAGGGGCCTCAGGCGTCTCAGCAGTCGAATGGGTATTAGGAGAACTGAACGAGTGAAGACCTGCCAGGCACCGCAGTGGGGCCGTAAGAGAGACCTGTCTACCACTGTGTCTGCATCTCGCCTCTGATTGTTTCTGGCCATGCCCTGCCATGTGTGGTCAAATTTAATCAGTGTACAAATAATTATTAATAGTACATGTCAGAGAGCAAACTGGAGTCTCTCTTAATTAAAACAGTTTAGTGAAGGAGTAGGATGAACCAATCAGGTAGCACTTGGTGAGGGTCCAAAAGTATTTCACACAGTGAAAAGAACCCTCCTGGAATTCAAAGCCAGAAAACCTGTGGTGGTGGTGTGGTGCTGCTGTGTCGGAACCGACACATTGCTGACCCTCCTGCAAATGTTCAGAGGCTGTGAGTCATACCAGAAGAGATTGCCCATTTTTCTTCTGAGGAGCCCTGGATGACTTCAGTCCACCTGCTTTTTTATTTCAGGGCGCTCTGCCTACAGAAAGTCTAAGAAGCTCAAAAAAGACTCTGATTGGTTGAAATTTATAGAATCATGTTTTAACAGATATCGGACAATTCCAAGATCCATTGAGCATTGATCATCAAGTTTTTGATAGTCAGTGGACATTTAGTGAGGCCAGCCTGAGGGGCTGCCCTTCCTGGGAGCGTACTGTGGAAGGGGGGCAGAGCACAGACTTCCTGAGGTCTGCTTTTGAAAGTCAGCTCTGGGGAAGCAATAAATAGCCAAAGTGGCAGTCCAGCCTGCAGCTCTGGCAGAAGCCCCTGTGTATGCCGAGCACCTGGATTTTGTAAAGCTTTTCCACACATGTAGTTCATATGCCAACAGCAGGAGCACTCCCGGAATTCTGAGAGGGAGCGAGAGATGTGCCCCACTTAAGAAAACCTGACCATATAAGGAGCATCACAATTAAAGGATAATTTTTCATTTAGCTAGAAATTCATGGCAAGTTTCCTAGTGCATTTAAAATAGGATTGAATGTATAAAAATACAGTTCTGCACACAGAAGCCCATATTTTCTGAAAAGGAAAGTGTACTTGTATTGGACATTTAGGGTAAGTAGATCAAAAGTAAAAATAAAATCTTACAAATATAAGAACTAGAAAGCAATTCCACTTTTAATTCAAGAAGGTTTATATATAAATCTACTATCTTACCCTCTACTACCCCAGACTTCCACTATAGAAACAGACAGGATCTAACGGCAGCTCAGACTAAGGAGAAATGAAGCAAAAGTATGAATGGGTGGTCAGCAGAAATATATGGCAGGCCTGGGGTCTTCCCTCTGCCATCCACCACATGCTATGAGAGAGCTTGTCTCCACTGATGTTCTGTCCAGGGCTTCCAGCTGTTGTACTCCCTTGCTAAGACTTTTTACCTTCCATCCAGATACAGTGAATCAGAATCTACATTGTAACAAGACCCTTTGATCATTCTCCTGAGTACCTGATGATCTGTAAGAATAATCACCTTCCTGTTGTTAGGTGCCTTTGAGTCGTTTGTGACGCATAGTGATCCTTTGCCAAACAGCTGTGAACCCTGCTGTATACTGAGGCAACCTAATTGTCTCTGGCACACCAACCCCCACTACCCCAGTCACTGAATCAGTCCATCTCATCCAGGGTCTTTATCTCTTGTGCTTTCCCTCTACTCTCTCAAGCATGATGTCACTCTCCAAGAACTTGTCCCTCTTAACATCCAAAAGTATGTGAGACAAAGCTTCAGAATACTTGGCTCCAAAGAGGAGCCTGGTTTCTTCCTCTCCAGGACAAACCTGTTTGTTCTCCTGATGGTCCATAGATTCTGATTGTGTTTTCCAGGGTAGAAGGACAGGTTCTAAGTAGAGCATCAGCCTGCCCAAAGCCCTGGTTCTGACCTCATAGGTGGTTGCTGGATCATTTCCATGCTGTAGTTGGTAAATGGAAATTAGCAGTTGACTGTCTCTTTCTGCTACCACAGACTACCCACAGAGAAGTGTGCTAAATTCTATCTAGTGGGGCCTGGAATATGCACAGAGGAGGTGAGTACAGGATACTGACATTTCTGACTTCTTCCTTTCAGAAATGTTCCCACTGCCAGGAGGCAGGTGCCACCTTGGGCTGCTACAACAAAGGCTGCTCCTTCCAGTACCATTACCCGTGTGCCATTGACGCAGGTAAGAGGCCACAGGCCTTGTGCAGAGGGCATCCTAGAGCCTAGCATGTGCGCCTTCCTTCTCTCCCCTCTCCACTTCTTGTTAGTTTGTTTTGGGGGCTTCCCTCCCCCTTCCTGACTCTTTTTCTAAGTTTTAAAGGAATGCAAAAAGGATGATAAAAAGGAAATTAAATGGGACAGGTTGAGATAATTCACGTATGCAATTCACTTGTTTAAAATACACGGTTCATTGGCTTTTAGTACATTCACAAAATTATACACAGTAGTAAATTTTAGAACATTTTATCACCCCTAAAAAGACTCCCTACACACTAGAACCCCTCTCTCCCGCCCGTCTCCTGTCCCTCAGGATCCACTGACCTTTAATCCTTTGGATTTGCCTCTTCTGGTCATTCCCTCTAGATGGCGTCCTACAGCACGTGGTCTCTGAGACTGGCTTCTTTTGCTTAATTATTAGTACGTGTGATTGCCGAGTAATATTCCATTGATAGATAGGCCATCCTTTTCTTGTGTACTCATTGGTTGATGTATGTTTGTTTGTTTGTTTGTTTGTTTGTTTGTTTTTATAAACATTTACATAGAAATGTTGGTGTGAGCATATATTTTTACTCAGGAATGAGCTTTGTACCAGTCCAAAGTAGCTACTTTTTCATTTCCGACAGCAGTGTATGATGGGTCCAGTTTTTCCATTCCTCACTAACATTTGTAACTATTTCTCTTTTGTTATAATCAACCTAATAGGTGTACAGTGGTTTTATGATGAGTATCATTTTATGTGTCTATTAACTATCTCTGTGTCACCAGAGTTCTTGTATAGTCTTGATATCAAATAGCTTATACATGTTTTCTCCAATTCTGTAGATTGTCTTTCTACTTCTTGATGCCCTTTAAAGTACAAGTCTATTTCATTTTGTTTTGTGCCATTGAGTCGCCTACAACTCATGGCAACCCTATGTACAACAGCCCTAAACCTTGCTCTGTCCTGTGCCAATCTCACTGTCTCTGACACACCCACCCCAATTACCCCAGTCGCTGAATCAATCCAACTCACAGAGGATCTTCTTCTCCTGCTCTGTCCCTCCACCCTCCCAAGTGTGACATCCTTCTCCAAGGATTGGTCCCTCCTTGCAACATGTCCAAAGTATGTCAGACAAAGCTTCAGAATCCTTGCCTCCAAGGAGCAGCCTGGTTTAACCCTCTCCGGGATGAACCTGTTTGTTTTCTTAGCAGTCCCTGGTATATGCAGTACTCTTCTCCAGCACCACAGCTCAAAGGCATAAATTCTTCTATCCTCCCTAGTCACTGTCCAGCTCTCTTGACACATAGCAAGTGATTGCGAAGACAGTGGCCTATATCAGGACACCTTAGTTTCCAGAGTGATACCATTGCTCTTCAGTACTTTGGAGAGGTCCCTAACAGCAGACTTTCCCATTGTAATACGTCTTTTGATTTCCTGACTGTGGAGCCAAGCAAACTAAAGCTGTGAACAAGCTCAATCTCTTCACCATCCATCCTGATGCTGCCAGTTAGCCCAGTGGTGAGAATCTTTGTTTTCTTGACGTTGAGCTGGCCATGTTGGAGGTGGCTCTCTGCTGCCCTCTAGAACTTTCTGTAGTCACAGGAACTTTGTCCATGGTGCTGTCCAGCCCACTCTGGCCATGGAGCACTGTGTGGCTCGTACAGATGAGGAATTTTTTTTTTTTATTTTACTTAAATTCACGGCAGCGAAATTTAAGTGATTAGTGGCTAGATAGCACAGGTTTCACATCCACTAGGTGACGCTCAGGCAGACTCTGAAGTCCCCACCCCGCTCAAGGACGCACACGCATACAGCCTTCTTGGTTGACTCTGAAATGCAGTGGTATTTGTCGCTCCTGTCTTGGGTCTCTCTGACTGCCTGTGTGTGTGGATGCTAGCGCTATCTGTCAGAAGTGAATGGCTGAGTGCCAGCACCAGGCCACTGCTCCTTGTTTGGAAAGCTGGGACCAGAGTTGCTTCAGAGGTGACCAAGTCCTGGGCACTCTGTGGTTTTTGTGATGATGTGTCCCAGTGGCTTAGACCTGCGCCACTTTGGAGCAGATATCTGTTCCCCACCAGACCTCCCCAGTTCTTTGGTGCTGTCTTTGTTGTGAGGAACAGGGCTGCTGACTACATTTTTTTTGGAATTGTGCAGGAATAAGTTGCTGCTTGAAGAGTCCCCATCTCTGACACCTGGGTCATATGTGAAGTGAGGAATAGTTTAACATCTTCCTCTCTGTCTTTAAAGAGCTACCAATTTCTCAGAGAAAACTTTGATCTAAAGATTTTGCCATGGAAACCGAATCTTTGTTTCAGGGCTTCTCTGAAGCTCCAGCAGCTTCCCTGCCCTGCGCTGGAGCTGAGCCCATTTCATCGTCATCGTAGCTACTCCGTGCTGCTCCTTCCAAGGCAGACACAGGTCTAGGCTCTGCTCGGGTCGTGCGTGTCTCCTCTCCGCTGATCCTTCTTCAGCTGGTGCTGGCTCAGTGCACTCGCTCCATGGAGCTTGTAATGAGGTGCTTAGCATGCTCTGCCTGCCTCACTCTCAGAACGGAGAGCAGAGAGTTCTCGTGGATGTGGCTGCCTCCTGGGTCCGTTCAGCCTGTAAGAACATCCATCGAGGCACCTGCTTTGATGTCACTGAGCAGAAATGCGGCTGGGCCCCCCTGACGCTGCAGGGTTAGCCAGCAGATACCATCACGGCTTTGAGACCATGCCTTTGTCTGGCCATATATCAGTCAGCTGTACATTTTTTCAGAGTTTTGGGGGTGGAGGGCTCTTAGCTTACGTACGGGCTCACCAGGTCAGCTCACTATGCCTGTTGAGAACAGAGAAACATCTGTCAACACCTGTCTCTGCATCATCCACTAGTTGCTAGGAAGATGGGCCCTGTGTCCGACAAATGTTTAGGAGGCCTCCCTTTCTAGAAGAGCAGTCTTCTTTTCCAGAAACCTTTGCTGTGTACTTGCATTATTGTCTTTCCTTTCTGCTTGTGACTGAGGAAGCCCTGTCCCTAACTTTCTATGTGTTTGCCTGTTCACCACGGCTGGTCCTCATTCTGTGTGAGGAGGACACCGGGGCCATTGTCATTTCCATAAAGCCCTGTGGTGCACGTTCTCTGCTATTTCTCCTTGGCCCAAACCAGAGGCTGAGTTAGCAAGAAGTGTTCCCGAGGCCCAGGTATGGAGCATGCTTCCTGGGCCAAGCGCGGCTCCTGCTGTTTCTAAACTCTTCTGGCAGATTGGAGCAGCGGGAGTCCTGGTCACGCTCTGTACTCGTGGGTTTTAAATTAACACATTTCATTTACTGCCATGCTATCTGCTGGGCAGGAGAGGGACCCGGGGCTCTGGAATGACTTGCCAAGTCCTTGTGCTGGACTCTGTGAGTCAGGTGGCTTTGGCCAGTCCTGTTTATCCAGGGCACCGGTACTGACTCAGGCCCCACCTTTCCTTTCTCAGTGCTGTTTGACTTAAAGCCTGTGGGTAAGACTGCTGGTCTGGTGGTCTGGATCTCACTTTAAACCTGAGTAACGGTCAGTGTAACAAGGGTGAGCCCATGGCTGCCCTCTGCAGTGAGCCGGCTCCCTCCTGGAAGACACGTGGTAAAAGAGCCTTTGATGTGTCACTGCCCCATCTTGTACCCAGTGCCACAGGTATCTCTCATCCCAGACAGAGGTATGTCCTGGTCCCCTGGGGCTGATCGCTAACTGCCACGTGGGCGCCAGAACTTCCCTTGAGGACTGATGGCGCACTCATGGAGTTTACAGTGTATTATTGCCAGGTTGATGCTGGCACCTCTCCTGGAGCCCTGGGCCAGGAGCCGCCTCCAGGCCAGCTCATCACCTGACCTAAGAGCCCTGCACAGATCTGATGAAATGGGGCATTAGATGAGCTTGACCTAGAATTGAAGTTTTAAGAAGCATTTTTTTATTATTTTTGTGTGTGTGTACCATCAAATCAGATCTGACTGGTACAGGAGGAGATGGCCCCTCCTTCCCCGGTAGAGCATCTGGTGGATTCGAACCGTGCACCTCTGGAATTGTAGTTGCCACTTCTTGCCACTAGGCCACCAGAGCTCCCCCTAAAAAGCATTTATTAAAGATTGGTTTTGATTGTTAAAATAATACCATCTCATCATGGAACTAAAGAAAATACAAAAAATAAAATCAAAATCACTTGTCTTCCTCTTAACCTACCTATTGTTGTTGTTGGGTACCATCAAGTGGACTCATAGTGACCCAATGAACAAAAAGATCTGACCCCTGTTCTATCTTGTGCAATCCTCACATTTCCTGACACACAAGAGCTTATTATGGCAGTCACTGTGTCAGTCCACCTAGTTGAGGGTCTTCCTCTCCTTCGCTGACCCTCCACCCTTCCTAGCATCATAGCCATCTCCAAGGAATAGCCCCTCCAAGTAACATGCCCGAAGTATGTGAAGCAAAGCCTCATCATTCTTGCCTTCAAAGAACACTCCAGCTGCACCGTCTCTAGCACGTGTCTCTTCATTCTCTTGGCTGTCCAACACCACAGCTCAAAGACGTCAATTCCTTTTCTGTCATCCTTGTTCATTGTCCAGCTCTCAGATGCATAGCAACTAATCAGAAAGACTATGGCCTGAATCAGACACACTTTAGTCCTCAAACTGACATCACTCCTCAGTAATTTGGAGAGGTCCCTAACTGCAGACTTTCTCCTTAATTCCTGGCTGCTCATACCAAGGGTGTTATTTACGGATCCACACAGGATGAAGTTGTTGACAGTTTCAGTCGCCTCTCCATCCATCGTGATGTTGCCTTTCAGTACAGAGCCACTTTTGTACAAGGGTAGATTTTATTGTTAGGATTGTACTTGCACATTTGTGTGTCTTGCTTCTGAAGCAGTTTTGTACCATGAGTGTTCCCCCCCCTGCTGTCACTTGCTCTGAACCATTCATTTGTGTGAGACACCATCGTGTTGAGTGAGATATCACTGTTTATTTAGGGTCACCAGTGTCTCTCTTCACAGAATCACCTCTGAGGCCTCTTGTCTCCTTGCCAGACCCTGTTGGCTGGGCCTAGGCAGCCCTCTGACTGTCCCCTCTGTTTTGCAGATTGTTTGCTACATGAGGACAACTTCTCGCTGAGGTGCCCCAAGCACAAGGTGAGTCAGAAGCTCAAGAGCATGTACCCTCAGCAGGGCTGGGCATCAAGGCAGCAGTTCCAGAAAAATCCAGAAACCAGGCATTGGAGAATTGGCATGTCAGCTGCCTGCCCTGGGCCCTGAGAGAGTGGAGAGGCTGGTCCTGCGGGGCCACGTCTGGGCCAACACTCGTTGTAGGACCATTTGCTTCTTCATTGGAGAAATAAGAGATCAAACTGGAGCCCGTTTTGGTTTGATGGAACTCCAGTTTATGATGTACATGTAAACTTGGTCCATAGCATGGCCATTTCCCCAGACTGAGAATAGAGCTGGGGCCAGGGCTGCGAGGGAGCTCTCCGGGTGGAAAGGTGGTGACTAGGGTGTGATGTCTGTGGTCTCCCTGGAGAGCTGGCTGCTGAGAAGGGACAGCAGCCCCCAGCTGTGTGGAGGGGATGCAGAATCTCCTGTTCTGTGGCCACACCGCTCCTATGGCTGAGGTCACACTGACACCTTGTGGTCGCCAGCTGCTCACAGTCTGCGTCCTCCAGTTAGGGCAAGAAAGTACTGGAAGCTGGTCCTCCCAAAGGCTAGCCCTCCAGAGTGTTCCTGAAAAGATGCTTCTCTGTTTTTCTAAAAGTGGACAACAGGACTTTCATTTTCACTTAATATAGATGTCTTTGTTTTTGGAACTTCCTTTTTTTTTTTTTTTTTTTTTTAATGATTGTGTTTTGCCTCAGAAACTCTGAGTATCACCTGTTTGTCACTCAATATTGACTCTTCTTTCTCTCTCGTTTCCGTGTGCACTCCCCTCCTGACCTCCGCCCTCCTGGCTCCCACTCTATCCTGCTGTCTCGTCTCCTCTTGGCTTGGCCGGCAGCCTCCCCTCCCTTGCCCTCTCCCCCCCTTGCAGAACAAGACCGCGAAAGGCAGCCTCAGCACAGAGCAGTCGGAGCGGGGGTGAGGGGGGCAGTGTGCTCATGGGAATGGAGAGTACAGCAAGCACAGGTGAGTCCGGCCATGCGCTGGCCCCCGGCTGTACCACCAGGCTAACGATGTGGGAGAGACCGGAGCAGCCGTGTCCCCACATGTCCCTCACGCCCCAGACTGCCTGCAGTAAAGTAGTGGAGATGTCGCCTCTCTCCTCCCAGAAATGCCTGCTAAAACTCTGCACGGTTGCTAGGGTCAGCTTCTCTGTTCCCCACATCAGCCCTTGGGGACTAAGCTGCCAAGTGGACCTGCCGTGAGGTGGTCCTGCAGGTGGATCGCACCTGACTGGTGGGACGCCCCACATCTCCATCAGCCGCTCTTTCCCTGGTTCTAGTCTTTTCCATCTGTTGCATCCATGAAGTTTATTCTGTGTTTTTCTTCTCCAGCTTTTATTATTTGAAAGCTCCTTTTCTTCTCAGAAGTACAAAAGAAGGAAATCCTCTCAAAGACTTAGTCATATTTAGTTACCTTTAGCCTCTGATTTCAGCAGTGATGGTGGTACCAGCTGTGGTCACGGCTGCCTCGGCGTACATCTGTGGACACTGCTGGTAGACGATCTCCACACCACACAGAACCTCTTTCCCTGCCCTCTGGAGCACTATGGGAGAAAGCAGGGTGTGATCAAGGGAGGGATGAAACAGGAAACTTGCTGCTCTGGGATGGGGACAGGCAGCTCACCTCAGCCCGTGTCAGTCAGAAATTGCTTCTATTCAAACAGAGGACCTCAGGTTTTGCTCCAGCCGTGTGGGACCACACAGGTCCAAGCCTATCCCCCTTGGCACCATCGCCTCCCTGACAAGACTCAGTTTTTGGGCCCTATTAAAAAACCCATAGAACAAAAACTAGCAGCATACAAGCCATTTCTGCAGTACAGCAAACAGACAGAGAAGTGCTGTACCTGTAAAACAAGCAAACATAGAGTTGTCATAAAACAAACATGCTCACGAGGGGGAGATAATGACAGGAGGTGGAGCACCCAGCCTGGGGGCTAGTCTGCCTGGCTGGTGATGGTGTCTTTGCCAGTACAGGGGTCTCTCTTGGAGGAAGTGCAACGAAGGTGCTCCTCAGAGGCCGGATGGCTCACATACTTTGGGCATGTTGTCAGGAGAGGCCAGTCAGTCCTTGGAAAAGGACATCATGGGAGGATGAGAGAGATAAATTGACATGTGAGTGTAACAGGGTGCTTTGGCATAACGAGATGGTGAGGCTGGTGCAGATCGTCATTCACAGGAGAGCTACGAGGCTTAGTCATCACAACTCATTGGCACCTAATAGCAAAAATGTTCCCTTTCCAAGAGCACAGGCAGCTTAGGGGCTGAAGGGTTCAGCTGCTAACTGAAAAGTCTGCTGTTTGAACCCACCAACTGCTCATCCCTCCAAAGAAACTATCTACTTGTGTAAATATTGATGGCTTTGGAAACACTGCAGGCAGGTGCACTGTGTCCTGCAGGGTTGCTGGGAGTCAGGACTGTGTACAACAGTGGGTTTACATTCCTGCTTTTCTCTGTAGTGGTTGTTGTTCATTGGTGTTAAGTCAAGACCAACAGGTAGATCCATCTTTCCCATCAGTAATTCGAGGATCAAAGATTGTGGCTGTTTTTCTTCAAGAACATGAGCTCTGAACCTGGGTTTGTTTCTTCAGTAGGTTTAACTGACTCCCAGCTCTGTCCTCAGCACTGCGTGTCCCATGCAAGGTCAGCTGTGGGGGCGTTATTTAGATCAGAAGTAATGACAGGGGAGTTCACAATGGCCCCCCTCTCCTTCCTCTTCCAGGGAGCGAGGCCTGGGTGGAGTGATCAGCATGGAGTGTGTGCAGTGATGCCTGCACCTCCTCCCTCCCATCAGCCTTCGGGGTAATGCAGTAGCTTGAGTGGCCCTCTTCTATGTCCCCTGCCTGCACTGGGCAGGCTCTGCCACAGCCCCCCTACCTCCTGGTCCTCTGGGGGGTATAGAGTCACATTCTGTAAATGACCTTGAGGAATAGAGGAAGTCTTGAGCAGTACCCTGAAAACCTAGCTAGGGGGACAGAGTTGTTACTTGGTTTCTATTGTCTTGGAAGCCCAATCTCTGTGTGCAGTAAAGGAGAGGTCTGAGCCCCGCTCTAGGGTGGTGGTGTCCTGTTCTTTTCCCGTGATGGAGAGCTGGAGTTTGGAGTAGCACAGCGAGTGTCCCACGTCTAGGCTTACGGGGAGAAACAGAGACAGGGCAGCATCCCATACATTCAGGCTGGACCCTTCACCTCAGTATGTACCCACCCTTGTTTGTCTGAGCTCCTGCCCTTCATGTGCTGTCCCACAAGGCAAGGCCATCCTGGCATCCCCTGTCAGGACTGTGAGTAAGCCATGGCGAAAGCAGAAAACTTCCTCAGGCCAGCCAGTGCCAGGCAGCGGCCCAGGGCCCACACTGGACACCAGCAGGACCTAAAGGTTCAGCCAGGGTACACGCTATCTCACTGTGCTGGGTGGTATGTCCTGACCCCAGCCACCTCTGTTGAGGGGCATCCCTGTGTCACCACCCTGAACTGCTTGTTTGCGCCACTAGCCTGCCTGGCTTTCACATTGAATTCTGGGAAGAGCCTGGTGCCAGCGGTGCAGGGCGTTGATTATGGCACATGTTCAGAGACACTGAGCACTGTGCCCAGGGCAGGGCCCAGCAGAGCCCAGCCCAGTGCCACCACTTTGTCGAGTTGGGCTCTCAGCACCTGGCCCCTGTCTTCCAGGTGAGACTGTGGAGATGAGATGTGGTGGACACTCGTGATGGAATGGAAACCGCCCCCTGCGCAGCCCCCCACCCCACCCCACGTGCCTGCCGTGCCAGCATTCTTCCTGGTTCTTACATCACACCAAGCGCCACCACAGCAAAGAGACCCAAGAAGTTGGAATGGCTGTTTCCATGGACACAATCTCCATAGTGACAATGTGGGGGAGGGGGGAGGGGAGGGAAGATGGGAGAAGGGTGGGGGGAGCTAAAAGGGAGGGATAAAAAATATATATATATAAATCTATTTTTAGTCTGGAAAGACTTTGTTTAAATGAAAGGTGCGCTATCCCTTTGATTCTATTTTAAAATTACCTAGTTAAAAAGCTCCAAATTTGTTCCAATGACAATGAATTCAAATGTGAAATTGACCTGAACAAACTCATCTCATAGGCAGGTGTGTGGCTGGTCTAGGCCTCTGCACCGACCCAGGGGGTCCGGCCCAGCTGCACCCAGCCACCCTATGTCGCTAGAATCTCCAAGCAGGGAGGTTTGGGGGGAGGGGAGTGGGGAAGGTCCGTGTTTTCAAGAGTGGGAATGATGTTTAAACACAAATAAATTTTTCATTTCCAGAAACACTATTTATTTATTATTTTTTAAATTTTTATCTTTTTTTTTTCCTTTTCCTTTTTTTTTCCCTTTTTTGGGGGAAGGCGTAAAATTGGCAGAGACCCCAAGGTCATGGCCAAGTCCTGAGTCATTGTGGCTGGCAAACCCATGATCCTCACTAGGACTGGCCAGCAGGGTCAAGGGGTGACTGGCCACAGGGCCGTGTCCCAAGCACACTCAGGCCGCTGCACCCACTGTGGGCCTGGAGGAAAGGCCCCCTCCCTGCCGGACCAGAGCCCTCAGTGCAGGACTCCGTGGGTCCTGCCGGCCAGGAGCACCCTGCACCCTGCTTGCTTTTTTGCTTCATTTTTATAAAGGAAAAGGGGGCCTTGTCGCTTGGGCAACCCCTACCTACATGATTCTTACGTTGTTTTGTTTTGTTTTGTAAATTGTATAATTTTTAAATATCTGAGTTTTAAAAAAAGAAAAAAGTACAAAAAAAAAATCTTGTTAAGGCCTTAAGAAGGGGTTAGTGCATCTTTCAGGGGTCACTCTGCCGTGGGGATAAAATAGCTGTTTCACAAACAGTTTTATTTAAAAAAAAAAAAAATCCAAAAAATAATAAACTTCATTTTAACCTTGTTTCCTTTTTTTGTTTGCTGTAAAATGAACCACCTCCTCTTCCTACTGCAGAGGCTGCCCTCTGGCCTCAGTGAGTGGTCCCCAGCCTATAGAAAGGTAGTCACCAGGACACCAAACTCCCAGCCACTGGCCACGTCAGGGACAGTCGGACCTCCATAGCCTATGCAAGGACATGATCCCAGTCAGTGTTCACTTTAAAGGTCATGACAAACGAATGTAATATTGATGGACTTTGTTTTCAAGAGCAGAAACACTGGAGGTATTTCGAGGAGTAGAAGTAAGCACTTCTAGATGGATCCTTGTGTGTTCATCACTTTGAGAATTCACAGGTGGCAGGCTGCATGAGTCTGTGGTCCATTTCTCGCTACTCGGTGGAAAATGTGTGGTTGCCGGGTGAGCCACCCAGGACCTGCTCAGATGTGGTGGGAGGCACTCCGTTCCCTACTGGGCTTGGCTTCCTATCACCACCACTGAATAAAACAGATTCCAGATCAAATGCGAAGGCAGTGTTTTTGTTGTTGTTCTTAGGTACCATTGAGTACAACTAAGCTACCCGATAAGCAACAGATTGGAACCCTGACCTGTCCTGTGCCATCCTGGCACACTAGAGCCCGTTGCAGCAGTCAACATGTCAATCCACCTGGTCAAGGGTCTTCCTCTCCTTCGCCGACCCTCTCCCTTTCCAAGCGTTATGTCCCTCTCCAAGGAGTTGCCCCTCCAAGCAACATGCCCAAAGTATGAGACGAAGCTTTATCACCTTTGCTGCTTAAGAGCAGTGTGGTGGCACGTTCTTCAAGACATAGCTGTTTGTTCTTTGGCAGTCCATGGATGTTCACTACTCTTCTTCGATACCACAGCTCAAAAGTATCAATTCTCTGTCATCCTTATTTATTGCCCAGCTCTCAGATGCATAGCAAGTGATTGGAAAGACCATGGCCTGAATCAGATGGCACCTTAGTCCTCAGAAGGACATTGTTAACTCCACAGTAGTTTAGAGAGATCCCTAACTGCATAGTTGCCAGTGCAGTACATCTCCTGAATTCCTTACTGCTGGTACGAAGGGTGTTGATTGTAGATCCATGTAAGATGAAGTTGACAGTTTCAGTCCTTTCTCCATTTATCATGATGTTGCCTGTCCAGTGTAAGAATTTTTGCTTTCTTGACATTGAGATGTAATATTCCAAGTTATATTTTATCTTCTGCAGCAAGTGTTTCAAGTCCACTTTCAGTCCTCAAGATTGAGACATCTGCATAATGTAGATTATTGATGAATCTTCCTCCAATCTTTGGGCCACATTCTTCGCAGAATGAACTAGGCCTGCACACTAGTGCTAAGTGGACACTGCAAGTGCAGTGATTGGAAGGGCATTGGCCTTGCTATTAGAGGCTTTCCTGCAGTCCGCAGAGCCCAGATATCAGTGCAGATGGGCCTTCACACACCTGTTAGGGAGGCTGGGCTTGGTGAGGGTATGACACCCCAACAAGCAAAAGGTAAATATACCATGGTTCTGGATGAACACTCAGGCCTCTCAGTGACAGCCCCTAGACAAGAGCTGCCAGGAGACTTGACTAGTTGGCTGAGGCCACGTGGGTGACCAGGGTCTTTACTCTCCTGATCCGTTGAATGATGTTAAAGGTGGAAACCTCCCCAAAAAAGACCTTTCCCAGCCTGGTCCACACCCCAGACCCTCTGAGCAGCCTGGGCTTCCCCAGCCTGTTGTACACCCCCGACCCTTTGAGCAACTCAGGCACTCCTGGTTTCACATGCACAGTCTTGTGGCCTTTTCCTATTCACAGGCACCTGGTGACAGGGACCTACCACTTTTCTCCTTAGGACCCAGCCAGCACCCAACATAACTGGGAGACTCCACACAGGTAAACAATCCCAAGTCTTGCAGGTTGAGACAGGAAAGATGGTAAACTGAAAACGGTCCCAGCAGTCTCTGCAAAGGCATCGCAGGAGAGAGGGTATGTGAGAACTCTGAAAGGTGGAGTCCGGCTTCCACATTATCGAAGACCAACAAGCAGCAGAGACCATCTCAATCTGGAGGGCTTGAGGCAATTCAGAGGTCACCTGGTCAGATGGAGCTGAGGACCCCAGGACACGCCAGTGCTTACAGGATGAGAGCTTGGACTGCAGCTAACTGGGGCTGTCCCACCTATACCCACCCTCATGGTCTAGAAATGTCACTTCCATGGGTGCCCACATGCTCACATTCCTGTGGGCCTTGGCCTTGGCTGCTTGATGTCAGTCAGCCTAACTTACTGGTGAAGGAGTCAGTCCTGGGGGCAGGGTTTTGCCCAGTCAGTGTGGTGGTTCCCTGCTAGGACTCTTCTAGCTCTGGAGACATCTTTGCTGCACTAGTCACTGGCATGGCTTGTATCTGGGCTGGCACCTCTTCTCGGAGTCTGAAGGGAGAGAGGGGTGAGGCTGTGGGAGTTGTGGGGGCAGGATTGGCAAGTGGGAGGCCCTGGAGTCCACTTAACCACTTTGTGCTATGTGAAGAAATCGCCTCATCTCGCTGGATTTCCACCTGTGTGTTTTCCAGGAAAAGCCAGCAGCTTATGGTACAGATAAATGACAGAGATCAGAGAACATAAATAAAAGCTTACTCTAAGTGCAGAATCCTATTCAGAGCTTCCTGGTGGTTCAGTCAAAACGGGCAAGTCTCACCCTATTTAGGGTTGGCATGTATGTGTGTGAGTGGTTAGTGTATGTGTCACTGGTAATGTGGAGTTGTTTCCGGGTTGTGTGGAAATGTGTCGAAGAGGGTGGGGGTGTGGGGGTGTAGACTGTTCTACTATACTATGTGAGACCTGCACAGTGTGAAGAGAGGGAAGAGTCTGAGAGCCTTTTCCTTCTCCCCATGACCCCTTAACATACATCTCGGCCCCAGGCAAGCAGCAGTAGCAAACCAAAGAGTAGAGACCACTCTGGGTTATAGCCTGTGGGAGTGAGATAAAGACCATCCAGGAGACCAGATTTTACACATCACATGACACTTGGGAAAGGATGAGAGTACGAGGTGTCCACCCTGAAGCCCAGATGTCTGCAGGATCCTACAGAACTAGGAAGTTAGGGTGCAAGGATCGGGGAGAGAATGAACGTGCCCTCTAGGTCCATACCCGCACCCTAGAGGGCAGGAGAAGGGAATACTCTGAGGCTGGCAGAGCTTGGCTCCTCCCTTGCTGTTGGAGGCGGTACAAATGTTCATTGGTGGAGTGTTCCAGAAGAGTGAGGGCATTCCTTGTCCCTTTATAAAAGGATGCCGGCATGTGAAAGGAGGTGTAGGCACCAGGTCTGCTCCTAGGAGCCTAGTTTATAGTCTGAGGTGCCAGGTGTGAAGAGCCTCCTCCACCCCAGCAAACGAACTCAGGCCACCATGGGGCTGCTGACTGGGGAGGCCCTGACATCCTTGGCCGTGGCTGTGGCCATCTTCCTGCTGCTGGTGGACCTGATGCACAGGCGCTCACGCTGGGCTGCCCGCTACCCGCCAGGCCCCATGCCTCTGCCAGTGGTGGGCAACATGCTGCAGCTGGACTTTGAAAACCTGCCCTACAGCTTAGGCCAGGTGAGTCAGGTGGTCCTGGGGCGCCAGAGACCTGGCTGTCCCATGAGCACTGGACAGAGGTGGTGAGTGAAGCCAAAGGAGGTGATCCAGAAGACAGGGTAGGTTAGGGAGGCTTCCTGGAGGTGGAGGTTCTGGGGGCCGGAGGCAGGGATTGGTAGGTAGATCTTGGGGAGAGAATGGAGATGCCTGAGGCCAGGAGGTGGGGTAGAAAGGACTCAGCAGGACTAGCTAGTGGATGAGAGGAAAATTAGGCAAGCACTGTGTGCGTAAGTTACCCCATGAGCTTGGGAGAGAAGACCTGAGTGACCCTGACTGGGGGTGGGACGGGCTTCTAATCTCTTCCATGGACTTTGGACCTCCCTCTCTGCGCCTCTGAGTCTCCATTGTCTAGCTGTAAGATGAACTGGGCTCAGGGCACTTGGATGACTTGCAAAATTGGAGCTAGACTTTGGGTCCCAGGTGAAGTTACAAATCTGGAGGTGTGAGCTTCAAGTCACACAGGCCAGATTTCTTTCCTGATCCCCTGAGAGAGGCCCAGGGGGTCAGCTAGTTAGTGCTAGTCAGAGCCTGATGGCCACCTGGTCCTCGGCCTGCAGCTGCGGCGCCGCTTCGGGGACGTGTTCAGCCTGCAGCTGGCCTGGACACCTGTGGTCGTCGTCAACGGGCTGGCGGCCGTGCGGGAGGCTCTGGTGGTCCGCAACGACGACACGGCTGACCGCCCACCTTCGCCAGTCTATGAGCACTTGGGTTTCGGGGCAAACTCGGAAGGCAAGTAAGGAAGGGGGCTGGACCTCCAGTGACAAAGACTGAACAAATGGGACACAGCGCAGCTGGCAAGGCCAGTGCAGAGAGGTGCCCAGAGAAACAAGCCTGGGGTGGACGTGGATGGGAGGCTGGAAGAACGCCCTGTCCCTGAGCAGGGGTCAGAGCTAGGAAGAGGCGTGTCCCCAGGCAAGGTCACTGGCCGGGTGAGAAAGGGTAATCTCCCACCTGGGGCATGTCGGGGCCCAGGCAGTCCAGTCCACCAGGACCTAAATGGGGTGCCCAGCAGTCCCAGCCGGTGGGTGGTGAGGGGGCCAGGGAAACAGTTCTACTTAGGGGGCGGGCATGACCCCCAGAGAGTACACCAGTGAGTTCAAGTTCAGTTCAAGGAGGCAGGAAAGGGGAGGGGTGACCGAGGGATGCGGTGAAGTGCGGGCAGGGTGTGTCCAGGGGCATTTGTGAGCGGAATGGAGTCAGGGCTCCTCCTAAGGTTACGGCCCAGGTAACATCACAGGTCTCCCGAGGAGCCTGGGTGTTTGACCTGCTTGTCAGTGTAGGTGGGGCTGAGGTCAGGCCCAGCCAATGAGGTCATGGAGATGGGGCCATGGGGGCGGGGATGCTGAAGTGGAGAGGGAGGACCCAGTTAGGGGCGGGGCCGACACTGCTGTGGGTGGACGTGATTCGCTCTGGCCGGCCCCGCCCACAAACCCCCTTGCACACACCCATCCGCAGGCGTGATCCTTGCGCGCTATGGACCCGCGTGGCGCGAGCAGAGGCGCTTCTCCGTGTCCACCATGCGCAACTTCGGTCTGGGCAAGAAGTCACTGGAGCAGTGGGTGACCGAGGAGGCTGCCTGCCTCTGCGCCGTCTTTGAAGCCGAGCATGGTGAGAAGAGCCACTGATGGTCAAGGGATGGGCAGGCAGAGGAAGCAGGGCCCGGATGTACCCTGTGACCCACACTGTCCCTCTAGGACGCCCTTTCAGCCCCAAAATCCATCTGAACAAAGCCGTGACCAATGTGATCTCCTGCCTCACACATGGGCGCCGCTTCGAGTACAACGACCCCAACTTCCTCAAGCTCCTGGAAATGGTGGAGACTGGTTTGAAGGAGGACTCTGGATTCCTGAGAGAGGTGCGGGGGTCCTGGGAGCGCAAAGAGGTGGGTGACGCAGGCGGGGCAGGCTTCCTGGAGGAGACCCTTCTCTGTGCACAAGGACTCCGAGGAGGCAGATTTGTGTTGCAGATGATGAATGGACAGTCCAGGTTGGGGCCAAAGAGCTAAGATAGGCAGGATCCTCCTGGAGGTCCCTGGCACCTACCTGCAGCTGGGTTACCCCGGCATCTGGAAAGGTCCCCAGCTCCTCATGTGGTGTCACAGATGCTGAACGTGGTCCCAGTCCTCCTGCGCATCCCTGGCCTGGCCAGCAAGTTGTTCTCTGGATTGAAGGCCTTCATGGACCTGCTGGATGGGCTGATCACCGAGCACCAGGTGACCCGGGACCGGACCCAGCCGCCCCGGGACCTGACTGATGCCTTCCTGGACGAGGTGGAGAAGGTGAGGACGGCTGCCCAGCGTGGGGTGGGAGGTGGATGGAGGTTCCTAGAGCAGGGGGTGGGGGGGCGGGGTGTCTAGTCCTGTGTGAGCAGGTTATGGGCCCAGGTGCTTTCCTCTGACCCTGCCTGAGACCTCCCCTCCTGACCCAGGCCAAAGGGAACCCTGAGAGCAGCTTCACAAATGAGAATCTTCGCATGGTGGTGGCCGACCTGTTCTCGGCTGGGATGGTGACCACATCAACGACACTGACCTGGGGGCTCCTGCTCCTGCTCCTACACCCGGATGTACAGCGTGAGGAGCCTGGGGCCTGGCGGATGGCCCAGGGGGCACTTGGGGATCCACCTGGTGTGCCCCACCTATTTGGACCCTAGAGTCTCCAAAGAGAGGCTGGGCCTGGCAGCTGTCACAGTGGCCACGTGGGAAACTCCCCACAGACAGATTTATTGTTTAAGACACAAGGGGGGTCAAGTGTGCACCCCGGCATTGGCTCACTGGGGCTCTCTGTGTGCAGGCCGTGTCCAGGAGGAGATCGACGAGGTGATAGGGCAGGGCCGGCCTCCTGAGATGGCTGACCAGGCCCGCATGCCCTACACCACCGCTGTCATCCACGAGGTGCAGCGCTTTGGGGACCTAGTGCCACTGAGTGTGCCTCACATGACGTCCTGTGACACTGAAGTGCAAGGCTTCCTCATCCCCAAGGTAGGACGGCAGCCACCCTGTCCTCTGCTCAGCTCCACCTCCCTCCTGGTAACCATGGCATGATCTTTGCCAGGTGGACTTTCACTAAGCACCAGGCCTTTCCACCTTTCCTCAGCTTTAGCAGGAGTGCCCAAGCAGGGTTTATGGGGTGCACAGCAGAGGTGGGTCCAGTCCTGTCCAGAGCCCCAATCTGCTGGGAGACAAACCACATGCCACTGAATGCTGGATGAGCCAGGTGGCAGTGAAGTGCCCATGGCAGATGTGTGCATTGGGGATAAGGAAGGGCTTCGTCACTTCTGAAGCTACAGATCACTGGAACATGTCCAACTGTGCCAAGCAGAGTATGTGTGAGAGAGAGTGTGTGTGTGTGTGTGTGTGTGTCTGTGTGGGGTGGTGGCTGGGGTCACCACAGCCCTTACCCAGCCCCACCTACACTGGGCATCACTTGGACAGGGGACAACGCTCATCACCAACCTGTCATCAGTGCTGAAGGACGAGACAGTCTGGAAGAAGCCCTTCCGCTTCCACCCAGAACACTTCCTGGACGACCAAGGCCACTTCGTGAAGCACGAGGCCTTCATACCGTTCTCAGCAGGTGCCTGGGGGTGTCGGGATCCTCCCATCTCCCTAGGGGGTGTCTCAGGTGGATAGGACTCCAGGCTCACTGAGCCCCCCATGTTCACCCACAGGTCGTCGCACCTGCCTCGGGGAGCCCCTGGCTCGCATGGAGCTCTTCCTCTTCTTCACCAGCCTCCTGCAGCGTTTCAGCTTCTCCGTGCCCCCTGGACAGCCCCGGCCCAGCGACCACGCCATCTATAACTTCCTGTATACTCCAGCCCCCTACCAGCTGTGTGCTGTGCCCCGCTAGAGCCCTTAAATCTGAGGGCTCCCACTGTGTGACTGAATCCTTTCTGCATCTTTGACCCCATTACCCCACTAGTTAGGGACAACTAGATGGGACAGTAAGTGGAGAGCTAGGGTTGAGAGCCGTGTTTATGACTCTGAGAAGCTTTCCCTGGGAAGCACCAATGATAATTCCATCTGAGCCACCTCCCAGGCCTCCATGTCCCCTAGGTAGGAACAGCCCCACCCCAAGCCCTTAAAAAAATTCATGTTGGGCCAAGGATGCTGAACCTCAGACTTAAGATTGTTGTTGTTGTTGTGTACCATAGAGTCTTAACCGACCCATAGCTGAGCCTCTGGCAGGTTTTCAAAGGCAGTTAGTTGCACGGGGGGATATTGCCATCCTTCTCCCATGGAGCTGCTGGTGGATTCAAACCAGGTGCCTTCGGGATCACAGGTGCAGCTTCTTGCCACTAAGCCATCAGAGCTCCCTGACCTACAATTAAAAGATATTAAATGCCTTCAAAATTCCTCAGTAAAATTGTTTCTCTTCTGAGTTCTAGCGAAACTGTTAGTCATGTATGAATAAAGATATTTCCAGACACAGGGGGTCTACACCAACAGAGGTCTCACAGTAGTTAGGTGATGTCATTTCCGCTCCAAACTCACAGAAACTCCATGTCCAAGAGCATCCACCTGCCTGATCCTGCACCATCTTCACATCCGCCCTGTGTGTGAGCTGCTGACTCATTCCATCTTGTTAAAGGTGAGGACAAAGGGCGCTCTGGTGGCCTAGTGGCAAGAAGCTGCACTGCAAACCCAGAGGCACGTGGCTCAAATCCACCAGATGCTCTGCTGAAGAAGGAGGGACAATCTCTTCCTGTACCAGTCAGATCTGATTTGACGGTACACACATAAAAAGTAATAAAATAAAATTAAAAATAAATAAAAAATAAGTGAGGACAGCATGAGGACATCAGTTGTTACCTCCACTGCGGGGAACTGTCCCCATCTACAACGTCCACAATACAAAACCAGTTCATTCTCATGAGCTCACACGTGTTCCCACGATCTCACACGCACTTTTACTCATTCCAACAGTACTGTTGTGTTAGGTGTCAGAGTTGACCACAACCCATAACGACTTTAGGAATGACAAATCTGACCCAACTCTATCCTGCGTCATCATCATCTCTGCTTCACATGAGCCCGTTATTATACACACGTTTTCAATGCATTTCATTGACCTACTGACCCACCACATTTCTGTGAACAATGTCCCTTCCTCCCTCTCTCCTGCCTCCCTCTCTCGCTCCTTTCCTTCATTCCTTCCTTCCTTCCTTCGTTCCTTCCTTCCTTCCTTCTTTCCTCCCTCCCTCCCTCCCTCCCTTCCTTCCTTCCTTTCAAAAAAGTAATACCATTTATTTAACTTCAAAAACATTTCTGCATTCTAAAACATGAAAAAGAGACAGACTTTGCAAACTGTGTTTAAGGACAGAAGGTTCTGAAACGTCCATGGATGCAGGGGCTCTTCACTTTATTGACACTGAACAGTTCTAACAGTTTGTTTACGAAGAGAGTTTAAAAATGACTGCACCCAAAAAAACCAAAAACTCTTCAAATTAAAATATTTTGCATGTCAGCTGCCCCCCCTTTTCCACAGCTAAGAATGGCCACAGATGCTATGTCACTATATATAAAAGCAAGAAAGAAATCAAGACAACCTGAGGCTAAATGGATGCCCACCGCATTGTCAACAGGTCAGCTTCACAGGCCAGGGACTCCGGCCCCCCCAAGGCTCCATTGTTCCTCCACCTCCAGGCTCCATTGTTCTTTTTACAAACTATAGATAGGTACCGCTGAAAACTCTGGCTTTCTAGCCAACAATCATAGTTAACAGACAAACGGGGGACAGGTCACAAACATCTTTAAATGCCTGGTCATACCAACAGCAAAGAGCAGAGTGCATGTCCATTTTTTAAATGCCTGGACGTCTGTACAGCTTTGATAGTTTCAGGTGCTCCTGACTCCCATGGCCACTTCATGTAAACCACTAATGATTTCTATCTAGAGCACTTTGCAAAGACTACAAGATGAGCACGATCCAATTTTGTAATTAAGCCTAATGAGGGCAACAGACAGGTCTCCAAGAGACACAGCAATCACAGCGCCCATGCACTAAGGTGTTCACAAGGAGACAGAGAAACTGGGGTTTGTAGTCATCTTCCTCCTCATCCTCTTCGTCTGGCTCTTCCGGTTTTTCCCGGACTATGTTAGTATGAGGTGGATTGATTCAGTGACTGGGATAATCGGGATGGGAGTGTCAGAGACAGTGCGATTAGCACAGGACAGAGCGGAGTTTAGGGCTGTTGTACATAGGGTCGCTATGAGTCGCAGTTGACTTGACAGCACATAACAACAACAACATGTTAGTAGGACCCTTCACACTATCACACTTCACCGTGGACTTCCTGTCAGCAGCATCCTTCTCATACTCCTGCCGTTTTGGCACCTTGTCGATGTAAGGCTGCTTCTCGCCACCACTCAGGTTATTCCACATCTCACCCAGCTTCTTGGCCACGTCACCAAGAGAGATGCCAGGGTTTGTTGGCTTGATCTTAGGACGAAATCCGGAACAGAACAGGAAGAATCCAGGCAGAGGCCATTCAGGGGCGTTAGGATCCTTCTTACCTCCTTTTGCTGGCCCAAAGTCCTTCATTTCTCGGTCCTAATGTACTTTGTCTGCCTCAGCCATCTCATCAGACTTGGCCCTTGCCTTCCCTGACATAGTCCTCCACCTCTCTGAACACTTCTTGGAGAATTCACAAAATTGACTAGAACATCTGGGGTTTTCTTCTTATATTCTCTGCACGTCTGCACAAAGAAGGCATATGCAGATGACTTGCCCCTTGGTTTCTTAGGGTCACCTTTAGCCATCTTAACCATATTGTTGTGGTCTCTACAATGTCCTTTTGAAACACAGTTCCCATGGGCTCACAGATGTCAGCTGAGCGTCAGTTCTGACTCAATGGTGCATAACAACAGCAAGGAAGACAGAAGAATCAGTGCCCTAGACTTGTTGTAGAAGAGTGCTGAAAATATTAGGCTGTCAAAAGAACTAACAGCTGTGTCGTGGAGAAAATGAAACCAAGATGCTCATAAGTAGCAAGAATGTTGGAACTTGGTCTCCCATACTTTGGGCATACAAGGTGGGAGGGTTCAGTCCTTACAGAAGGACATCATACTTGGAAGAGCCAAAGAGAAGAAGACCCCTCAGCAAGATGAATTGATGAAATGACTGTACCAATGGTCTCAGCATGTCAGAGAAGATGAGGATGGCACAGGATGGAGTGACGTTCTGATCCATTGTTCATAGAGAAAGAATTTCAGGCTCACCTTAGTCTTTACACAGACATCATTGCTCTTCAGCACTTTGGAAGATTCCCTGAAAGCAGAGTTTCCCACTGCAACACATCTTTTACTTCCTAGGACTAAGAGAGAAGAGTGTGGGGACAAGAAAGATGAAATCATTGACAATTTCAATCTTTTGTCCATGTATCATAAAGTTGCCTGTTGGCCCAGTGATGAGAATTTTTGTCTTCTTGATTTCGAGATGTAATTCATACTTGATCTTCTATAGCAAGTGTTTCAAGTCTTTATTTTCTGCAAGAGAGGCTGTGCCATCTGCATAATGCAAGTTGTGGCTGATGAGTCTTCCTCCGATGTTGATGTCACATTCTTCCTTATAAAGTCCAGTTTCCTCAGTGATTTACTCTGCATGCACATATGGTTATGAAGAAAGACTACAGCTCTGAGACACACTTCTCCTGGTTTTAAACCATGCTGTGTTCCCTTGTGCTGTTTTGGACAACCACCTCTTGGTCTATGTATAAGTTTTACATGACCATAATTAAGTGTCCTGGATTTCCCACAAACTCTCCAAAAAGACTAGGGTTTTTATTGTTTCACACATTTAAGGACACCTTTTTAAAATCATTAGTAGAAACTTCAAAGATCACACATAAGTAAGAACACAGAATTTGCAAAATTAGTTCAGAGAGTCTGCAAACAAAACTACACATCAAGCTCTGAAGACAAAAGCCCAGGATGAGCTGGGGGAGGAATCTGACGTGAGTTTCTGCATTATATTATTTAAAATGCCCATTTTTCTAATAGAAGCAACAAGAAAATCAAAGCACACAAACAAGAATACCCCATAGACGTGGGAAAAGACACTAGCAACTGAAGCCCTTGAAGCACAAGATTTTAAATAAACTTATCTTTTTTTATTTAAATAAAATTTTTATCTTATACTGGTTTACCTACAAAGTTAGTATACATTGTTTTTCACACCAGAACTTTCCCATTTCATTACCCACCCCTCTTGCCACCCATTAAATTGTGCAACCCTATGATTAACTCCTCCACCCATCCTCATCCCTCTACTCCCCCCTTTCCTCACCTTGGGTCCTCATACTCGTTCTACAATGATGGTCCTATACAGTATTTGTCCTTATGGGACTGAGTTAGTTCACTCAGCATAATTGCTCTCCAGTCCTCCCAAGTTAGGTAGTGGTTTACAAAATCATTGCTCCGGTGTGCTGCATAGTATTCCATCATGTGAATGTACCACAGCTTCTCAATCCACTCGATTGTGGACCCGCAGACATGCGGGGTGTTTCCATGTTCTTGCAATGGTGAATAAGCAACTATGAACACTGGTGTACAAGTCTCCATTTTTGCCTCAGTTCTTATTTTCAGGGGTATATTCCAAGCAGTGGAATAGCTGGGTCATATGGAATTTCTAAATAGGCTAATTTAGACAAGAGTATCTGACAGACAGCAATTTGTGAAGCAGTGAAAGATAAATCCCTTATTGTGGAGTTAAGCATTAGTTACAGTGTTGACCCCACCTTTAGCCCAGAGCCTTGACCCACTTACTTCCCAGCTCC